AGAGCAGCTGCAGGGGACGTGCCTGCTGGAAAGCCTTGACTCTGAGCCTTCCGAACTGCTAGAGGGTGCTGGGGACGGCCCAGCCTGGCAGGCTCCAGCTGGTTGTATGAATTGGGGGAGGTTGCTCAGCTCCTTCCACATCCTCTCCCATTGTCACAATGTGGTTTATGAGCTTTTGCTCTAAAATGTGAGAACATTGGCTCCTGATTATGCCCTGTGGTGGAGTAAGGCATAGCTACAGCATTTTTAATAAATAATATCTCTTTAGATCACCGTCTTGTTACAGCAAGGATACAAGAGGTTGAATACACATGGATTAAAGGTGGTTTTTGTTTTGTTTTGCTTTGATATGGAAAACAAATCTGCTAACACAAGTAACGCAGACCAAGGAGTTCTATGGAGGCCTCAGTCTGGTATCATGTCAAGGGCATTATTGTCACATTCTGAGGGACCTGGGTTTGATTCCTAGCTCTGCTGTGTAAACAACTGTTAGGACCACTGGCTAGTGACTTCCCCCTGAGCCTCCACTTCCTCATCTAGCAGGAAAAAGTGGGGAAACACTTGTAGCTCTCACCTCATAGGGGATGCTGTACTGATTACGTGAGGTAGGTGTCTAAGGAACTGAGCACCGGACTGGAACAAATGGTACACTGTCTAAATGCTAGCAATTATTATTGAGATTGTTATAACAGAGGGTAGTCTAAAAGTAATTTGAATATATTTGGAAAGTGCCTTTATTTTTATTTTATTCTATTTTTTTTTTAATGGGGTCTCACTATGTTGCCCCAGGCTGGTCTGGAACTCTTGGCCTCAAGGGATCCTCCTGACTTGGCCTCCCAAAGTGCTGGGATCACAGGCATGAGCCACCCATCTGGCCAGAAAGTGCTTTGATAACTATATTAACATGGCAGGGCTTGACCTTGTGAGCACCTCAATCTAATTCAACAAGTAGGCCACCTGAGAGGCATACCTGGGTAGTTCGTTGTGGTTTTTAGAATAAAATGTGACTTTGGATGAATCCTTGATCTTGGTGTACACAAAGTCTTTGTTTCTTCGTCTGTAAAAACAGATGATAATACCCACGTTGAATGTGTGTATGTGTGTGGGGTTAGTGGTGTGAGTGTGTGGTGTTTGTTATGTGTTTTGTATATGTGGTGTGTGTATTTATGGGTGTGTGTTTTTGTGTGAGGTGAGGCTCCCGTAATCACAACATTTAATGCACTTGAGTAAAAGCACTTGACAAAGGTAAGTAGGAATTTGCTATGTAGATATTGATATCCTGATGACTTACTATGTGCTGGGAGAATCTACCGTCAAAGCTTAAATTTTATCCGAGGAGATAAAGCAGATGTGACATGCAGAGATGAAAGAATGAAGAAAACAAAACAAAGCAGGACCAGGCAGTCTGAGATTGACCAAAGCAGAGGTTCAGAAGAGGCCACCAGGGCCGGCCACCCAGGCCCTCCTGGGAGGAGCAGCGCTTGACATGGGCTCTAAAGCAGTGTTTTTTTAAACTTTTTTGCTTGCCTATCCTCTACCTGAACTTTGGGGGGAGAAAAATCTCTTCTGCTTCACACATTTTAACTTGACATCTAAAATGCTTCTTTCTGAGTTTGATTAGTTACAAAGGATATAATTTCTGCTATGTTTTAAACAGTGACATTTCAGAGTAACATTATACCTTAAAGTATATATCTTAAAAATATATCAAATGGGAACTAAATGACATAGCAATTTTTTTTTTTTGAGACAGAGTCTCACTGTGTTGCCCAGGCTAGAGTGCCATGGCGTCATCCTCGCTCACAGCAACCTCAAACTCCTGGGCTCAAGCAATCCTCCTGCCTCAGCCTCCCGAGTAGCTGGGACTACA